TCGCGAAAAAACAAAGATATGCATTCAGTAAATTGAATGAAATTCGTTGCCATCACCGCTCAGTGGCAGATCAATGATCTTGTAAACCAGGGGTCGTAAGTTCGATCCTCACAGGTGGTTTTGCGAATACTTGATCAAGCATTGTGTTGTTTCTAATCCAAAGACGCGTTCTGCATATTTTTCTTTTTATAGTGCATTCGATCGTTCTCGATTAAATCCGGAATATTTTCAACCTGAGAGGAATGACATTTTTGGAAGAGAAAGGTGTCTCATTATTTCAAACTAATCTACAAGGGAAATGTCGCGAAAGAAACAAAAGTAGGCATTGAGTAAAATAAATGAAATCCGTCGCCATCATAGCTCAGTGACAGACCACTAATCTTGTAAATCAGGGGTCGTGAGTTCGATCCTCACTGGTGGCTTTAGAAATATTTCATCACGCATGGTGTTGTTTCTAATCGATAGACGAGTTCTGCATATTTTTCTTTTTATAGTGCTTTCCATCACTCTCGATTAAACCGGGTTAATTTCATTACGAGATTAATGTCATTTTTGGAAGAGAAATGTGTCTCATTATATATTTCAAACTAACCTAAGAGAGAAATGTAGCGAAAGAAACAAAAATGTGCATTGAGTAATATGAATGAAATCCGTTGCCCTCATAGCTCAGTGGCACAGCACTGGTCTTGTAAACCAGGGGTCGTGAGTTCAATCCTCACTGGTGGCTTTACAAATACGTGATCAAGCATGGAGTTGTTTTTAATCGAAAGACGCGTGCTGTATATTTTTCTTTTTATTGTGCTTGCGATCGCTCTCGATTATAATCCGCGTTAATTTAATCCTTAATAGAATGTCATTTTTGGAAGAGAAATGTGTCTCATTATATATATTTCAAACTAATCTACGAGAGAAATGTAGCGAAAGAAACAAAAATGTGCATTGAGTAATATGAACGTAATCCGTCGCAATCATAGCTCAGTGGCAGAGCACTGGTCTTGTAAACCAGGGGTCGTGAGTTCCATCCTCACTGGTGGCGTTACAAATACGTGATCAAGCATGGAGTTGATCTCAATCGAAAAACGCGTGCTGTATATTTTTCTTTTTATAGTGCATGCGATCACTCTCGATTAAGGGGTCATATACCTTTTAAAATTTCCGGAAAATCGATTTTTTTTATTATTATTTTATTTTATAGAGCAAACCTTTCTGAGTTTTTTTAAAAGAAACCGCATGTAGATATTCGCAATATCACGGAAGTTATTAAGAAAATAAAAAGAGCAGAAAAGTTAATTTAAATATTGTTTACATTTCGGCTCCAGGGTGACAGCTGTCA